ATGGGGACAAGAATATGTGATAGAGCCGAAACTGGTTTGGCTCAGTGGATAAAGCGTCTGCCTGTGGACTGAAAGGTCCAAGGTTCGATTCCGGCCAAGGGCATGTACCTTGGTTGCAGGCACATCCCCAGTAGGGAGTGTGCAAGAGGCAGCTGATCGATGATTCTTTCTCATCGATGTTTCTAACTCTCTATCCCTCTCTCTTCCTCTCTGTAAAATATCAATAAAATATATTTTAAAAATAAATAGCAGCTTAAAAAAAAAAAAGAAAAAAGAATATGTGATAGAAATCAACCAAGTTGTCCCCTCCCTTCACCCTCTCTGGCCTTCAGATGAGAGATCAGACAACCATTAATGTAGCAGCTGTAATCCCCTACCCAGAAGGTAATCATTTTAACTGATCTACGAGCTCATAGGAGCCATGAGTCATGATTAAAGGAACTGTCTTGAAAGCTTCAGTATCTAGGAACAAATTGTGCATTGCCAGCCCTAATGGTTGCCCACTTGGTTTCCACCTCCCACACTATTTAGGGGTCTTTTAAAGAATCATTTTTAGATCTACACACTCACAATATGGTCAAAAAAGCAGACAACATGAACATCTGCATTAAAGAGAAACACCTTAACCCTCACTGCTATTGAGAGTCCCCATTGGAGATGTGTCCAGTGCCTCCTCGTTCAGAGCTTCCTTTTCCAGTCCTGATCCACTTTCGTTATATGTGACTAATGTAAAACTGCTACCCATTGCCTTGGCAACACGTCCATGTACTAAAAAAGGAATAAAACCTGAGGTTTATTTTAAATTTCCTATCTGCCAGAAATACTAATTTAAGAAATACTTTTTAAAAGCAATAGAAAATAATAGCCTACAAATAGTAACAGGAAAATAGTGCCTGAGAGAAGAAATTCATGAAAATGTATTGGAATTTATCTTTTAAATATGAATCAAAGAGTTTTGATGCTGTTCATGTTATTTAAAGTTCTCCATTAAAATAATATCTCCATTCTATAGTATATACTATATTTAGTCTTTTAGGAACTTCCTGAATGTTTTGCATATTGAAATTTCCCATAATGGCATTTATATATGGCTAAAGGAGATAAAATTACTCCGAGGAAGCCCTAACTGTAGATTTGAAAACAATAAAAGATTAGTGCTTTAAAGATGGAGTGTGTAAATCAAAGAAAAATGCAAGTGTAAAGTCCAAGAATTTCTGAATCGTTATTTTAAATTCCCAGCAGAAGGAACTGTAGCCTCATAATTAAGTTATCTGTTATTTATGTTCCACTTCTACATTCCTGTGGTTCAGACTTTTCTTTCTTTTTTTTAATCAAATTCGGTTGGTAAATGAAAAAATAAAAGAGTTTTCAAAACTGGGCCTAAACATTAAAAAATAGCAGGTTGTAGAGCAGCCAAATACCACAAAGGTACTCGGAGCATTTCACTTCCACACTTCAGTCTGTTGTCTGTCAGCTGCTGTCTGCTGTCATCTCAGGGCTTGTTCACGATTTAGGAAGCTGGCTAGGCAGTTTTCCCAGGAAACAAGACAGGGCCTGCATTTGGTTGGAATAGAAGCATAGCTAGAGTACGTTTGGGGGCACAATGCCAGTCTGCATACTTCCTCACCCGGTAATTAACAGTTGCTATTACAACAGGATTCTTATCTCCAAAGGGAGCCATTTAATGAGTTTATATTACTTTCAAAAGGATTGTTTTCTTGAACTATTGAATTCTGAAACTATTTAAAATGCATGTCAGTATAATTTTTTTTACTTATAGGGATTATTACATAACTAATTAATTGAATACCTAGAGTACATAGGATATCTATCTGACTTTTTAAAAAATAAGTTACATGCACTGGCTGGGTAGCTCAGTTGGTTAGAATGTCATCCCATACGTCAAGGTTTTGGGTTCCATCCCCAGTCAGGGCACATAAAGAATCAACCAATGAATGCATAAATAAGTGAAACAACAAGTTTATATTTCTCTCTCGTGTGCATTTTCTCTAAAATCAATAAATTACCAAAAAATTAATAATAATTATAGTAATCATTATGTACCATGTAATAAACTAAGTGCTTTTATGCATCATTCATTCATTCAACATATACCTATTATCTGCTATGTGAACTATTCTAGGACCTGGAGATCAACAATAGTGAATAAGACAAAATGTTTGCTTTCATGGAGCTTATTCTACAGTAAGGAAACAAGAAATAAGCAAGCATAAAGGACGTGTAATGAAAATAAGTGCTATGGAAAATGTGTATTTGAATAAGTGTCTCGTTCAAATGATGAGTTGACATGAGCAGAGACCAAAGGAAATTAAAAAAAAAAAAAAAAAAAAAAACTGGCCCTAACCGGTTTGGCTCAGTGGATAGAGCATTGGCCTGCTAGGGGATGTGTAGGAGGCAGCTGATCAATCTTTCTAACTCTCTAACCCTCTCCCTTTTTCTCTGAAAAAAAATCAATAAAATATGTATTTTTTTAAAAATTGGATCTCAGGGGGATGTCTATTAAAGATCATTGAACAATTATTTATTGAGGATTTCTTGTAACCACTTACCATTCAATCCTTACAGCAGCACTTCATGGTAGGTGTCTTATTGCTCCCATTTTGCAGGTAAGAGAACTGAGGCTTAAAAATTTAAGGAAATTTTCTTAAAGCCACACTACTTATGAAGGACAAGCTAAGATTTAACCCATATTTGCCTCAGTCACAAGCTGTGCTGTTGACCAACTTCTTCATGTCAAATCACCCAACTATTCAAAATCAAGATTTTTACATGCTCAATATTGGTGCCTATTTAATAGGAGAGTCAGTGACAACATCACACTTAAAGAGGAAAAAATAAATTTGAGGAGGGAGAGGGGAGAGTAAATGAGGTTTGGCTCAATCAAATAAATAAATGGGGGCGGGGGGGGGGGGAATGCCCTCCTCTCCCCTTCTGAGGGATCTAGATGGAGGCAGAGCAGACCTTGGTAACTGTGGCTCTCGGGCATACACACACAAGGATGCCCTAGCTGGCCCTGTAGAGGCATGTACTGAAATCGTCTTCCAAAGCAGCACTCTCAGAGCTGCCAAAAGAGGCCATGAGTAAGGAGGGGGAGAGAGAAGGAAGAGGATAGGAAAGAGTTTGTTGTGGGGAATCTTTGTCATCACTTCCCCTTCTGTTCACCCGTCTCTGTTCAACTGAGTCTCAGCATCAGGGTGGGTATTTTCATTTGGCTACATCACTGAACTCTTCATAAGGTACAGTCTACCCAAGACTAGTCCTGCTGGGATGGAAGGAATTGCTTCCAAAACCTACCATCCCCATGACTTCACTTAAGCACTAGTTCCACAAGGACTGAGCCATGTGGTTGGCTGAGAAAGGGCGACAGAACTATCACCATTTCCTTGTTCGGGACTAGAACTCCTTGATGTCCCCCGACTCCCTGACAGCTCAGGGAGCTTTGCATTAAGGGTCTGTGTAAAGATAAAAGGGCATGCATAGGACAACGGGGAAGGGGGAAAGTTGTGTTGTCTAGCCACTCCAGATCTGAAGAAGTGGAGTTTTACAGTAATCGAGTGGCTTGGGGAAAGTGAACATAGGAACCCAAGCAATCAAAGGAAGATTATCTTACTTAATACCTGGGATAGATGTTTTTCTTTCTGCCTCTCAAGTCCAAAGAGGAAAATCAGGATGAGTGGCTTAGGTTGTAAACTTTAAGGTCAAGGACCCTTTCTGTTGAGCTTAGCTTTCAAGTTCTCAGTAGTCAAGTACGTGTGAAACATTTAATAGCGCGATAAATATAAGTTGTGGAAGATGAGATCGAAAGCCTGAGGTCCCTTCCATGCCCACCCCCCTACAGAGCCTGTCATAAAAAAAGGACATAATCAACCTTAGCATGGCTATTAAAAAGTATCACCTATTAAAGCGCGCTCTTCCCTAACGCCTCTAGCTGGAGTTTCTCTGTGTGGGTGTGTTCCGAGGAGAGGAGTCGTGTGCAGAGAGTGTACTGGGTACAATGTGTATTTATTTGTAAGAGGAAACAGAAGATCTCAATGAGGAAGAACATATGTTTCTGAGACTGCATCTGTGCAAAAAAAAAAAAAAAGTACATAGACCTCAAAGTTGTACTAAGAAAAAAAACAACCACCATATTCACTCATGTCTTCTTTGGCACAATTCCCTCCTGCTTTTTCTGCCTGACCAAATCATTCTTTTCTCACCCTCAGGTACAGGAAAACCACTAAATGTTTGGAACAGTCTGGCACAGCCTGACGACCCAGGTTAGTGCTCAAGTGACTTAGCCCTAGAGCGACGTGACTCTTCAGGGATCACCTGCCCAGGGCGCTACGCGAGGGAGCTGAAGTCATCCTCTGAGGGCTGGGCAGGGGCCCAGCAAGGAAACTAAAGTTGGGCGCGCCCCGGCAGGTTAGCAGCCAAGGTGATCTGGAGTGCGCGCCACTCCCAGGAGCCCCCCTCGCCAGGTGTCCCCCTCGCCAGGTGTCCCCCCCCCGCCAGGTTTCCCCCCTCACCAGGTGTCCCCCTCGCCAGGTGTCCCCCTCCCAGGTGTCCCCCCTCGCCAGGTGTCCCCCTCCCAGGTGTCCCCCTCCCAGGTGTCCCCCCCTCCCAGGTGTCCCCCCCGCCAGGTGTCCCCCCTCCCAGGTGTCCCCTCCCAGATGTCCCCCCTCTCAGGTGTCCCCCTCCCAGGTGTCCCGCCGGCCGCCAGCCCCGCCCCCGCTCCCAGTGCGCCTGCCTGGCGGGAGCCCGCCCCCTCCCGCTGGGAGGTTGGGCTGCAGGGCTCCCTGGGCCTCCTCGCCTCTGGCCTCCCACCGCCGCTGGGGGCGGGGCGGGGCCGCGAGGCGGGGCGGGGCCGCGGGGCGGGGCGGGGCCGCGAGGCGGGGCGGGGCGGGGCGGGGCTCGCACCGGTGCCCCCAGCCCTTGGGCAGCCGCTGCGCCCGCAGATCGCGCAGCCGGCGAGCGGCTCGGTCCCGTCCTCCGGCCTCATGGCAGCCCCCGGCTCCCCGGCGGAATGCGGCTACATCCGGACGGTCCTGGGCCAGCAGATCCTGGGGCAGCTGGACAGCTCCAGCCTGGCGCTGCCCTCCGAGGCCAAGCTGAGGCTGGCGGGGAGCAGCGGCCGCGGCGGCCAGGCGGCCAAGAGCCTGCGGATCCAGGAGCAGGTGCAGCAGACCCTGGCCCGGAAGGGCCGCGGCTTCGTAGGCAACGGTGAGTGGAGCCCGCCACCTGCCCCCCGGCATCGCTCCGACCCTCCTCCTCCTCCCCCCTTCCCCCCTCACCCCGTGGCTTCCACTCCCTGCTTCCCGAGGGCGCGGGACCTGTATCCTGCCCACCTGTTGCTCCGGGTCCCTTTGTAGGGGGCGGCGCGTACGGACTCCGACCGGCTTACTTGGGGAAAGCAGCCTTTTCTAAAATAACCTGCCACTCAGCTTTGTCCTGTACATACCAACGTATATTAAATGCACAAATATACCTCTGTGAGAGAATTCAGTCTAAAATGTTTACTCCTTCCTTAATCGGCCCCCTCGCCGCCCTACCCCCCCCCCCAGGGGTCTTAATGGGGAGGCTCCGGGAGCCTGTAAACACCTTGAAATGCTATGCTCTGCAGCGAGTCCATAGGATCATTTTTCTAGGGGAAAGCGCCCCTCGGTTTCTTGTTTTAAAAAGAGTCTAAGGCCGCAATGAATATTTTGAAAAAGAAAGCCTGAAAGTACTGGCGCGCCTACAAACTGTACATTGGGATGGCCATGGTGCCTCGCCCAGGTACTTGGGGCGCTCCGCCCAGTGTGCTGATCTAGGAAGTGAAAAAATTGGGAAGGAGGCTTTGGGCCTGGAACAGTCAGCGCCCTTGTGGGGAGATGGGGGGAGGAAAGGGACTTTGGCCGGGCCAGCCGCAGCACCCACACCCACATCCCCTCAGCCTCTCAGAGGCGAAAGGGGTTTTTTAAAAGTAAAACACTGTATCTATCGGTAATTGATAGACAGGGGAGATAGAAGGTGAAGATGGCAAAGTAGTTATACAGATTAGAAAACATGAGATATTTTCTCCCCTGCTAAAATCAAGTGATCGAAGCTACCAGTCCCATTTTTATTAGTTTTTTTTTTTTCCATTGTGAAAGTATTAAAGGGTTATTATAGAAAAGAGAACAGGAAAGGAATTGAACACTTAAGTTGGGATATCAGTTTGTTTCCTGCAATGTTAAACTGTTTCTCTAGTAAATAATTCGGCAATGGCAAATGGAGAACACATTAGGAAAAAGAAAAACGTTTGCAGGTGGGACTAGAAATTTAAAATAGCAGACCCTGGGAGGCCATACAGTTTTCAATTCATGTAAAAGGATCCAAAAGGATCAGGCAGTTAATATTTACATATTTTAAAGGTAAAAAGGTGTTTGATGATTATAATTAATATAACTGAGTGCCTATTATGTGTCAAGAATTGGACTATATGGTTTATGTTCATTGTGTTAATTATGCCCCTCACCTCCCCCCCCCCCCCCCCAAAAAAAAAGAAAACCTTGTTAGGTAAACCCTGTAATCCCCATTGTACAAACGAAAGCACTTAGCAGTGAGGTAAGACTCAAGTTCCCACAGATAGTAAGTAGCAAAACTGAAACTTAAACAAACAAGCCCGAATTTTTAAACTATTCATCAGTTATATTGTTAAGCTTTTTGGCTATTAATACAAAGTAGGATCTTTATCAGACACTAAGTTCCCTCCCAATTTTCCTTAAATAAAATGGAGGTGGTTCTGAGAGAGTGGGAGGAGTAGATAACACAGAATTGCCACAGTGCATGGGGAAAAAAAACCTAAATGGATGTTTAGGAGGCTGACTAACGGCTTAAGGATAGCTGGGGTCAGTTGTTGACCAGTGAAGTCACTGCACCCGTTTAGTCTGTGCAGGTCCAGTGCTACCCTAGACCCACTCTAGCTTCTGCTTGGAGACACGGGGATGCAAACTAGATCATCTTCCATACTGAGTGCTGGTCTGAGAGTTGCAAGCCAGAAATAATAGGACGTCAACTTTCAATAAATCTGAGGAATAAGTAGAGAAGGAAAGAGAGCATTGCTGAGCATCTCGTATATACCTATGCCTATTTAAAAATATGTTTGCATGTTATTATATCCTTAAAACAATAATATAAGATACATATGAGGAGTCATTTCACATATGTAGAATGTGTTGGTCTCTCCACATTTATTAGACGCTTAGTCTCAAACCCACACATGTTCTGTCCGTCCTCTCTACAAGGTGATGAACTCATGTTATTTCGTGAATTCAAGAACTATCAAATGAGTCTGTTCTTTATGAAGGGCACTGAATTGAACATACACTCTGTTTGCTTTAAAGCAAGGAGTTTAAGCTCTGAAGAAGGAAACCTACCTCTAAAAATAAATGTTTCAAATAAAACATGGTAAGTGACACTAAAAAAGACTAGCTAGTACATTATGGAATTTATAAGGATGAATTAGACCACTGACTGAAGGGAATTTTGAGGAGCTGCTTGGAAGAATTAGGATATTAGGTCCCCCAAAATTCAGTGGGATTGGACATGGATTAATGGAGAGAACATTTTAGCAGGAATGTGTCAGGTTTCCTTCTTCAGAGCTTAAACTCCTTGCTTTAAAGCAAGCAGAGTCTATGTTTAATTCAATGCCCTTCATAAAGAACAGACTCATTTGATAGTTCTTGAATTTACGAAACAACATGAGTTCGTCATGTTGTAGAGAGGACAGACACATCTTGTGTGGGTTTGAGACTAAGTGTCCAATAAATCTGGAGAGAACATTTTAGGCGGGAATAGCAGGAATGTGTCATAGTTCACATAGTTGATATGGTAGAGCAAAGTGCACTGTCATGATACTTCTCTAATGCTAAGGGCAACTGGCTGAGCAGCTCTTCAAACTAAGGAACAAAGTGTTTGAAATATTTTGTTTGCAATGGGAGCTTCCCAGCAAGCTGAAATGCACTCGGCCACCTACACAGAAGTGTCTGAGAGATAAGGCAGCAAATACCTACTACTTACTTTAAAGCTTTCGGGAACTCAAAAAAAGTAGTCCACTTGAAAGGAATTTAATATGAACGTGCCGTGAACAATTACCAGAGGCGGTTTAATCCACGTTCTTTGAAAAAGTCTGGGGCCTCTTGATGGTTGTGAGTTTTGCATTTATTATTTCCTTATTACCGTCATGTCTCTACAGTTGAAACAGACAAGCAATTGTTGAAACAGTGCTGGTCTGGAAAGAATCCTGTATCAGCACAAGAAATTCTGGGAAGAAATGACCCTGGTGTTTGCTATTGTTAGTTCCATGGGCCCTGAAGAATTCTGAATTGTTGACATACCTGTAAGATTGAGGCAGCAGATAATCTGCTGAAAAACAGGAGCTCCATGAAGCTGATCTCTTGATAAATACCCTGCAAGGATCTTTAACCCTGTCAGTTTCTCTCTAGTCCCTTAATATTGGTGGGTGGTTCTCGTTGTAAATCACCCTAACTTGTGTTGTTATTTTAAACTGCTGAATACTTTTAAAGTAGCCGTAACTCATGGGGGTGGAGACAGAGGGGCAGGGGTGTACAGCAGCATTGTGAAATGAGCCTGTATTGTAGGGAGTTTTTTTTACATTCTTTTATAAAAGTCACAGAGAGGACATTTGAGGATTGCAAGTATTTAGCAAAGGGAACATTTTTAAATGTCCATATCCAAGTTATGACACTTTGGAAATACTACCACTTTACATATTACATTGCCCCCCTGGGTGCCAATGTAGGAAAAAAAGTCATGTTTTAAAGTGTTGTCTCTAATATTTATAAAACACAATGAACAACAGTATCTTAATAAAATTTGCAACTTCTATCAAATTTTGCCATAAAAACTTGAGGCATGCCATTTACTTAAATGGTTCCCCTGGCCAATATCTTTTTCATGTCTGGCATCGGGGGAATTCTGGAGAAAAGACTGAAAACTGGCTAAGGCAGCCAGTGTTAGTTACTGAGGAGGGGGAGTTAGACTGTTCAAATCCAGTACGAATTATTTTATTGCCAAAAAGGAATTCCAGGAATGAAGCAGTCAGGAATGAAAGAGTTCTGGAAGGGAAGTGACTAGTCTTTCTGAAGGTAGGAGAGATTAGGAAAGGGGAGAACAAAAAAAAAAAAAAAAAAAGAGAGTTCAGTGATGGCCATGGCCATGCTGCTCTGAATGAAAAGTGACGGTAGTGCCACCTGATTTAATGAACCTCCATGTCTGCCTAATATCTCCCTTGGGTAACCTTTGTCCAGTGTCTAACAAATTGCTTGCAGAGAATTTTTTAGAAATTTTTCTGATTATAAATAGTTGAAGGAAATAGATTTTTAAGACAATGCTGATTACAAAAAATGAGCACCCCTAGAAATGGCGAGAACACATCTTTTGTGGGTAAGGCAGGGTCTGGCAGAGAGGTTTCAGAATCAGTAGATCAGCGTGTGATTATAAAAGTTCCTTGCCTATGTGTCACAGATAAGACACCGGAAATTACCTTAAAGAGAAGAAGACTGCTCAGTCTGGCGTTTTAAAAGGCCCCATTAATGTTATCTGTGCCCTGTGTTACTGGTTCCAATCATAGGAACACAGGGTAGCTCACTTGAATTAGGTATTCTAGGTATGTGTTGTTCACATTAGCTCATTCTCCTGAAGTGTTGTTTTGGATATCAACTGTAAATGGTTTTCCCATATAATAAATTAAGGCCACACATATTTATATTATTTTCTCTTCAAATAGTTAACATTGATTTTACACTCAAATTGAATTTCTGGTCTGCTCAGCAAAAATTATTGGCAACTTAGCAATGATAATAATGAAATATAATAACAAAAAGACCTCTGGTATTTAAAAATCAGACTTGATTAATGTGACTAATAATATTACTTGGTTCTATCTCAGATAACATTCAGGAATTTTAAGTTATACAGACCTGAGGTTAATGTTTTCCAGCTATTTTGCATGTGCACAAATATGTGAAGAGAGAAGCACCATACTTCTCCTGGGGAAGGAAACAGTAAAAGGCAGTGCAAGTGGGATAGACAAAATTAGCGGGGGAAAAACTTAATCTTTGTATTAGAATGAGCCATCTCACTCCCCTGCCTTATTAGGGTAAGAATAATAATAGAATTTTGGGTCCTCTTCCAATGGAAATATTAAGAAATCTATTATGTATCTCTGTGTAATGTAG